AAAAGGGGAAAATATAAGAAATAATACTAGCCCTTTAGGATATTACATCCTGTTAATAAGTTGCATAAATGGCTGTGAAATGTAATGAAACCTTCTCAGCTCCGGAATTTTTGAGAAGAGATTCAGCATTAGGAATAATCAAGTCAAGTAATCCTAGGTTACGCATATGTATTCCATAAATGGTAATGTATTCCATAAATGGTAATGCTGCATAACGAAATCGTCAGCCTTTGTCCAAACTACGCATAATGTATTCTCAATCAAGAAGTTTTACATGAAACTCACAAGGGTGATTTATATTCCTTCGTTCACCCCTAAATTAATTTGGGTTTTGTTCCATGTCTTTTAGGCGGACTTCTTGATCCAGACAAGAAGATAGTTTTCCTCGTCACATATGAAACATCCGATTCCCCCTCTGACACCATAGCAAAGACCAAAGAATCAAAGAAAAGTGGTGTAGAAATTTACGTTGTCGGCGTTGGTCGCTACTTTAATGGAATAGCAGAGATAATGGAGGTGGCTTCTAGTCCACCGGAAAAGTATTTTTACGTGGCTTCTGACCTTTGGGCAGTGGTGAAGCAAATTGTAAAGGATATCGCTCCTAACTTGTTGAATGGTATGAATGCTGCGACTGATCTTCCTTGCTAAGTCAGAAGGAGGGTATAGACCCTCCTTAAGTTTCAAACTTAGTTTTTAAGGAAAAATTTATTGTTTGAAAAAGTTTCCCTGAATTATATGAAAATTTTCTCTACTCGGTAGTTTCGTCAAAATTTATCTGAAAAAAGCTTAAACTTTGCAAAATTGAAAACACACTCCGACTATTTAGATTCTTCAATTTTCCGCTACAGGCCATCTTTGCACTTCCTTTTTCATACGGCTGCTCCTATCATCATCATCATCATCATCATCATCGTCACTGAATAATACCGCTTGTGCTCCTAAGTTCCCCAAGGGATGGCATGGATAATATTGGCGATCATAACTCAAGAATTGACATAAGATCCAAAATTGATACACTCAGTGAAAATCACATTTTCAAAATAGCACTACTAGTTTCAAATTTTCCGCAAACTTTCTGCTTTGTATATTTTTCAACGAAGCTTACAGAATATTTTCAAATATTAATCACGCATCTTGTTTAGCAAAAGAGGTCTTCCATCATAGAATGGGTTTTTGTTGCAATTTTAGTGGTTATAGCTATATGCATCAACTGACTTTTCGATAAATTTGTATTTGTTAAGTAAGAAGACACAATTTTTAATAAAATCTTGCTTGTATTATCGGCTTTGCCTTGTACGAATTTTGAGTATCTTGTTACATCAACTGTAGGTCAACTAGTAATTTGTGTCATTAAAAAAA